CCGTTCGATTCTATGCGTCTGCGCATGTTCTAATACGAAGGGATGTCCCGGAAATTTGTCCGAGATTCATTTGTACTTTCTCTTTTAGGCGCCAACCATGGGACCAGGACCTCCGGTCCTAAGATCCTCGGGCTCAGCACCCCCGGGCTCAGCTCGCCCGGGCTCAGCTCGCCCGGGCTCAGCACCCCTGGGCTCAGCTCCCCCGGAATCAGCTTCCCCGGAGTCAGCTCCCCCGGAGTCAGCTCCCCTGGAGTCAGCTCCCCCGAAGTCAGCTCCCCCGGGCTGAGCTCCCCTGGAGTCAGCTCCCCCGGGCTCGGCACCCTCGGGCTCAGCTCCCCTGGGCTCAGCACCCCCGGGCTGAGAGCCCCCCACGCCACTAAGCGGGCCGTAAGCCGGAAGACGCCGGAGCCGGAGCTGCACGATGACGCATTTCTCTGTAAGTTTTACGACGGCCTGCTGGTGAAATGCATGCAGGCGTGCGAAAGGGGTGGGGGGGGGAGGGGGTAGCCTACGCGCTCGCAGCCTCCTCAAGGCATCTTGCTCTGTTGACAATTGGGTTGTATACCTCTCCGCAATATGCCGTAGATATATGGTGTTATTTAGAGTCTAATTTGTCTTGCGAATAACAGCAAAATAACCATTTATTTGCCCGCTTTCGTTTCACTCGTGCTGCTCCCCGCGTCGGCCTGGCTGGATTCGGGTCCGGGAGTCGATTGCAAACTCTACCCCCCCTGTTTCCGTAACCTTGAGCTGGAATGCAAAAAGTGAAAGTCCCTCAGTAAAATTCAATCGATTTCATCCCCCGCCTTCCGTTTTAACATTGATTCAGCGGTTTTCGTACGTCAACGTCCCCAAAATGAGCAGGCGTCTTCTGTTCAGGGCATTCTATCAAAACTTATCGTAATTTCACATTTTTGGCATTATCTCTGAAACCGAGCGGAAAATTTTTTCTCAGGGGGGTTCATTCGAAAGCTCAAATATTGGTGCTTGAATTTCGTTACCAAATGACCCAATGTAGATCTCTCCTTCTGGTCGAAAATGAATTTCGTTAAAAAAAACAAAAAACTGTAACATTACATATGTTAGAAAATATATTGCCGTATAAAATCTAAAGTTCTGGGCCGATCTTCCCAACTTGGTCATTCTCTTGATCCTGCCCCGCATTCTAGCCCTATCCTTTAGTGATTTCTCCCTTCATTTCAGGCAGCGAGCCCGAGCCTAGGACCACCGCGGCCCCTTGCTACCCCAAGCGGCCCGTGCGCCACAAGCCGCACAAGGAGCCGGAGCCACGGAACGACGTCCTGCTCGGTAAGTTTCAGCGCGGCGGCCTGTTGGTAGCCCAACCAGCCGCTACGTCGGCATGCTCCGACGATTGCCCAGCGTCAGCCCGGCTTGATCGGGGTCCGGGAGTTCTCCTCCCCCCCCCCCTCCCTCTTATATCCGTAACTGCCTGCCTCATCCCGACTATGTCCGCAACAAAACAGAAGTTGCCTCAACCATCCGAATACATGGGCCGGCCGCCATGTTCTTGAAGCAACTTCTTCCTTTCTTCCTCTGTTTTCGTTGCGGACAAACGGTTAATGTCGTTCACCCTCGACGCTCTCCTCCACAGCCGCCGCCGCCGTGCCGCCGCCCGCTGCTGCTGCTGGGGCTCGCGGTGGGCAAGCAGAGGGCGGAGAGACGCCCCACCGCTGCGCGACCTGCGGG